AGGTGGCTCTCTGGCCACCATTGGTCTGACTCAGTGTAGAATGCTGCAGCTTCAGTGAGAAGTGCACTGCCAGCTTTGGTGGCAGGATTTCACTATTCTCCCTCACCATGAGGAAGAAATACAAAGTGGCTGCAGACAAAGGAATATTTCCATCCTCTTCATCTGAAAAGAGGATTGAGAAGGAGTTGAATAAAATGCACCTGAAACCTAAGCACTCCTCCTCCAAAGGGGTGCCTAAATTAGTTCTAGTTCCACAAGGGGCACCACTTCAACACCACAACAACAGAGCATCTTGGTGTTTGCAGAGACAAGTAGTGTCATTGTGAGTTAATTAGGAGGTATTGAAAACCACTCTTTGGGTGAAATACAGTGTGGTACAGGAGTTATTTACAGGTACTCTTTTGTACTTTTCGTACCAAAAAACAAGTTTGACTTTTAAAATGAAACTCTTTTAGGGTGAGTAGTTTATAATTTGGACTGGATCATTTTGGTATTAAAAGCCCCCAAGTTATTAATATTTGAAAAATGACTGTTACATGAGCACAGTAATTATTTTCTAGAATTTAATACTTCTATCTACATTAACATCATAAGAGGTTCAAAAATCAAGATTAATGAGATGCCTATCACGAGAAATCATAATGTAACTGGAGAGATCTGTATATTTAACACTAACACTTTGTGTGAGGAAAATGGACAAACCATGATTATTTGTTATAAACCTTCCTAGCACAAGAGAATATTCTTCACTGATGTTAAAGATAATAAAATGAATACCAACACACTTCTGGTAACACTGCCTGGTTTCAGAGCACAACTTGTCAGACTAGGTAAATTTCACTGGCTTGGTGGAGTTAATCAATGTACATTTCCCAACTCACTTTGAAAACAATACATCAAATAGTTTAATCACAAACTGTTACTGAACAGAACTAACACATTGCTATTTTAGCAAGAGCAGGTGTTCATCTATTGTCATGATAGCAGAAACATTCAGCAGGTTACAGATATCGAAGAATGCAATGGAAATGTAAAATGAAGGGAGATGCTTTCCCTAGAACTCAATACAGAGACTGAAGAACTCTTTTGAATAGAAAAGGGAGGAACACACCACTTTATTTTTTTCTAATCTCTGTTTTACATTAAATGCAGGGGGCTGAATGGCTTGGATCAGAAATGGGGTATGCAGTCTTTCCACGTTGCCAGTTCCAATTCAACAATGATCAAAAGTTGGTCTAACAGCATTTTGATGTCCCATGCTGAAGGTCTTTAGTCTAGTTCTTATAGATCAGTGTCCTCTGTCATAGAAAACCATCACTCCAGCTGGAATGACTAGCCACCCTCTTGCTACTTATCCCAAGAAAGAGGCCAAAGATGTAACTGGTGTGGAAAGTGAACTAACCTCACACACCTTCAAAAATGTTTTTCCAGATGAAGTTTAAGTCCCACTGGTGGTACGCTGTGCAGCAAGCTTACCCTTTTGCTGCCTCTAGTGTACCAAATATTTGGTGGAGTAAAGGACTTCAGTCTCTGACTGTCAGCTGCCATGTTTCACTTCATGAATGTTTACAGGATCAGGGCCACAGAATTACTATGCTATTCTATATTTTTAAAAGACCTTGGGAGATAATCTGTTGGTGAGGTAATGGTTAAGATCACTCCTCTCCAACCATTTAAAAACATATTTCTCATTGTAAATTATCAAGAGCCAATACTCAGCATCCTGAAGGTGTTTCATTTTCTTTTTTAAATAAAATTGACTAGAAAATGCATTTTGTAAATGTATTTTGCTTCTCTATATAACAGCGATAAACCAGAAATTTAAACTACAGTATGTTTTTTAGCAGGCTCATGTATTCTGAAATATTGGAACATTCACAGAATCAGAGTGAGGAGGATTGAATAAAAAATGTAGTCACCTTGCATGTCTAGTTGCATATGATTCTGACAGTGCACTTTCTGATTAGGCAGAACAAAGGACTTACTCTCCCAGTAAATTATAGTTGCTAATACTGCAAACTCATAAAAGATGAAAAAAATACTTTGTTAAAATTAAGGGCCAGTCTGACTCCCGCATCTTCTGGGGTGTAATGATTCTATGTGGCTATTGTACCAGCCTTTTTAACGGGCATATGGTCAAGTTCAACACTTTCCCTGTGTATTAGTCATCAGTACTAAACTGGCACAGGAAGCTGCAGGTATTTTGTAAAAGCCACAGGTATCCGGAAAAAGGCATAATAGCCTCTGCTCTGGCCTGCATTCCCAGAGACTTTGGATCTATCTCTAACACCTACCATAGCGCCTCTACTGTGCCTCTATGTGGGAAGTGGATGTAGAGGCACAATGTATGCACAAGTGTTCAACTAGTCTATCTGGTAAGCAAGTAGAATATCAATCAGTCTATACAGAGAGGATATGAATGATGGAGGATCCTTTGCCTTCATTATAGGCATTTATAACCATCCTGGTGATAATAGCACAGGTCTCAAAAATGCTTGTTTTTCAGAACTAATTTGGTGGCATTACAGAGCTGCTGTTCAAGAGTCCACAATCTAGCATGAAGCTGTTTGAAATGGATTTTTGTAATGACATCCCAGTTTTCTTTCCTAATATCAAGCACTGAACTCACATACTTAGGGCACACTGTCAATATAAGGATCCACTTTTTCCTTTTATTTGACATTTTCAATCAAAATGTCAGTAAAATCATATTGATTAACAAATAGTAAAGACAAAATTCCAAAGAAATTATTTTTTCCCCAACAATTACTGTTTGTCCAGTATAAGTTCTTTAAAGATCTTGGGCTCCATATTAGAAAAAAGGACAGCTACCAAGGATCCCCTAAAATAGTAAGAAACTGCAAGAAATACATGACATTATGCATTCTTATTAATTAATATACAGAAAACTGGAGCTGTGAAGCTAGCGATCATGGGTGGCATGCAGAGGCCATGTGGCTATCCTTGCACTTGGGAGTCAGACATGCTGACCATTTCCAGGAGCCACACAGAGCCAGGGCAAGCAGGGAGCCTGTCTTAGCCCAACTACACTGCTGATTGGATTTTTAGCAGCCTCATCAGCAGTACTGACCGGAGCCACCAGAGTCCCTTTTCAACCAGGTGTTCTGGTCGAAAACTGGGTACCTGGCAACCCCAAATGATGTTAATTCAGTTTAAAAACCAACCACTTCTTTCTGCACACTTGTGAATCTGAGCTATATCAGACAAAATGTAATACTTTTACATTTTCTTTATTTCTGCATGGTTCAAACATTATCAGTTATTGAAATGAAGGTGACTCTCAGTGTTTTACACTAAGCAGCAGCTGGGAGAGAAATTCAAAATAGAATTTAGAAAGTTTTAGTAATTCGCAAAGATTTGTGAAATTTTCTTCCCAGAATTGTTTGAAACAATAAAGGAAGCCTATACAAGAGATCTGAGCCATCTGACTGCACAGAAAGACTCAACTTCCAAACATTATGCGCTGTGATATAATTTTAAGTTACTTTCATGCATACGTGTTTATAGGATTTAGTGACGTTTTTAATTTTTTAATTTTTAAACATTCTTTTTTTAAAGAAGTAATTTTAGACTCTCAATCTAACTCACAGTTGAATTGGCTGGAATGGGATTGTAATGTTTGAATAGCAGACGTAACTGTATGGAACAATATATTACAAGATGGAGTAACTGAATGAGCACAGGACAACTTATCAACAGCTTGTACAGCCCCTATGGCTGTTTTGGCCAACATGGCTATCAGTTGTGAAATGATGATGGGAGAGTAAAGGAATACCTTTCATATAAACTAAAGAGTGGGGTAGGGGAAAAACCCCAAGATTTTCTTCCAATGTGATCCCAGAAGAGTAACGTAGGAGTACATGAGAAATATATAAAATAAAATCTCCAATGAACTGTGTCATCACTTAAAACTCCATGATATATTTAAAAAAATATTAAATAGAAACACACCATGCCACTCACCTTCCAGTGGGAAGGCGAGTGGTGCTGCGCAGCTCTGCAAAGGAGGTGGGTGGGCAGAGAATTGTTTGTGTGCGGCCGCGCAGGCGCTCACCTTAGAGGGAACTATGCTAGAAACCCAAAGTATCAGAGTTCCAAAGTGTGCTCCCTGAGGGCAGAAGAAAGGGGGTTTAAGCCTCTCTCTCCCTAATTTCAGTATCTGGGGTGTGACTGTAGCTAGGTGCACATTTAAAAAGAAAAAATATTTATGAATTAAAAATTGTACCAATTGACTTTTGTTTTGTGTTCTTTTCTGCCAACAGATTTGTAAGAGCAAAGCTAAAGAATCCCAGCAATATTATCACAGCTTGGCTATCAGGCAGAGTCTAGCTATTAACTTTAACATCCAGCAGGATTGTGGCCATTTCTTAGCTGATGTACCTGTTCGCCTCCTTCCATGGGAGGATCCCAATGCACCTGAGGTGGAGGAGGAGGATGAACAGGAAAAAGAAGAGGTAGAAGATGAGCAAAAGAGCAAAGAAACTCCCTCCTGTTTGGAGGCTTCACAGAAAGACAATTCAGGCAGTGAGAAGAACATCAGCAAGCAGCGTAGCCGGGTGGTGGTCATCACACGAGAGGTACCGTACCTAACAGTGGCTGACTTTGTGCAAGAGTCCACAGACCGCCATGCATATAACCCAGACTTATATGAAAGGCAGGTGTGTCTATTGCTCTTACAGCTGTGTTCAGGCCTGGAGCACCTGAAACCCTATCACATCACACACTGTGATTTGCGCTTGGAGAACCTGCTGCTAGTTCACTACAGACCAAGGGGAGGCCTTCTGAACTATGAGCCTGTGGAGCCCAATCCCAGCTCAGCTTGCCCAGCCAGGCTAATTGTGAGCAACTTCTCACAGGCTAAGCAAAAAAGCCATATGGTAGATCCAGAGGTCCTACGGGACCAATCCCGTCTGGCACCAGAGATCATCACTGCCACACAGTACAAAAAGTGTGATGAGTTCCAAACTGGCATCCTCATCTATGAAATGCTGCACTTGCCCAACCCCTTTGATGAGAATCCAGAGTTGAAGGAGAAGGAGTACACTCATGCAGACCTCCCCAGGATCCCCTCCCGGTCCCTCTATTCATTTGGGCTCCAGCAACTTGCCAGCTGCCTGCTGAATCCCAACCCTTCCGAGAGAATCCTCATTTCTGAAGCCAAGGGAATCCTTCAGTGTTTGTTATGGGGTCCCCGGGAGGATTTGTTCCACACTCTCAGCTCCTGTTCCAGCCCAGTACGGAAGGATGCTGTGCTGCAGAACTGGCTGGACATCAAACGGACGCTGCTGATGATCAAGTTTGCAGAGAAGTCATTGGACAGGGAGTATGGAGTCAGCCTTGAAGACTGGCTTTGTTCTCAATATCTGGCGTTTGCCACTACAGACTCACTCAGTCGTATTGTGAAAATTATGCAGCAACACTAGTTTGTACCAGCTGTTGCTTTTCCTCAGCCCCCTACTCTTTGCTCTATTCTGCTCTCACCTTCTTTATTCTAGGGTTCACACTTTGCACAGCTGCTGAAAAAAAAGCTTAGATCTCAGAGCTAGCAACCCTGAGCAAATAGGTTCTAATTGGAAATAAGTCTCCTATTGAAGATACACTGAGGATTTTATTCAATTCCCAGGCCTTCCATCTTTAATCATATGTAAAATGACTGCAGTTGGATTATATACTGCCCAAGTTGGATAATTGTTCAACAGACTGAAAAAGAGAAGAGGCAAGAGTCCTCAATGTCCAATATTGTTGCCTTCTCTGACTTGCTACTTGCCCAGATCCCTTCCAAGGATACTGCCTTAATCTGCCATGTTTATCAACCTGTCATATTGCCGCTGAAAAGAAATAGAACATGCATATTTCTCTTCCCACCAGTATAAATGACCAGATGATCATATATTGTAGATATAACACTGTTAAACAAGAGCAACATAACATACCAAGAGCAACTGAAACATCCCTCCCACCCTAAAATGCAGCCAATCCCGCTTCAGTTGCCGCTATGCATCAGATATCAAAATAGCAGCCTCCTTCTTTGGGTTTTATTTTGGTTTGCTAGCCACTTGTGGCATATTGCAAAGCAGGACTCAAATTGGCAGTGCTGGTGTGTTGGTAGGATATAGCTACACAGGCAAGCGCTAAACAATTCTAACAGGCCACGTGGAGATGGTTTTAATTCAAATGTTGTTCTCTGCGGGAAGAACAAGGGGCAAACACTGATTTAATTACTGAGAAAGCTGTAAAGTTTGGCAGCTGTAACTAGTGTGACTTGATCCATTTTCCCCATGGGAGATATGAAGCCAAATACTGCTATCAGTGTTTACTAGTGTACCAACAGCATCAGATAACACCCTAAAAATGGAATGGCTGTCAGTGTAACTCAGAAATCATTGCAATACCGTTTAGAGTGAGGAGCCACTAGTGAGTATTAAGGTGACAGGTTTTAAAAAAAGGCCAACCTGAAGTCGCTTTTCACCTTTATATGCAGTTGCTGTTTCCCTTCCCTGCAATAGCACTCCTGTGAGTGCCTACAAACATGCAGCTAATCTGTTTGCTTAGCGTTGCTAGCTTCTGACTTGTCACCAAGATCTCTGAAGAACACAATGGGGGCAAAGGAAAGGTGATATTTAATATTCTGAGATGGGTGGAGGAAAGCATACAGCCCGTTTTGAGCCTGTGCTTCTCTCCTATGGATATATGTGCAATTCTTGTATGTATTTTTTTAAATCTGTATATTACAGTGTTTACATTATTTACCAGACTTTACCTGATGCTAGATCTGCAAATCCTTCCTTTACTTTCCTGGCACATAAATGCGCAGTTACATGTGCTCTTTATATGGATGGATATTTCATTTTTCATTGTTTGTTAAAACTGTGAGAAACCAGTTTACTTCAATGTTGCTAACAAATAGCCACTTTTTATACAAAGTGCATGCTTGGACCAGATGAATGGAAACCGAACAAACCTGCAGGCATGAGGTCAGCAAAACTAGCTCCATATACACACCATGTATTTGAAGAGTGTGAAATTTCTCTGACAACTGTCAGAGCCAAGCCTTGTGGTATGTGGAAGCCAACATTGATTGTGCGGTAGATATAGAATACTTTGTGGCCTTTTTAAACTTTCTGATGAAATATCCTTTTGTCTGATTCATCTGTATCAGAGAAGAATCAGGCAAGGATACGGATCACGTATTTTAATATAATTTTATATATATATAT